GTTTTGGCAACCCAGAAGTGTTTTTGCCATATCAAAGCCGCATCCGCCATCTTCCTTACAACTTCCGGCAGCAAATCGTAAATGCTGGGGGCGTAGCCTTCCGGAACAGCTGTTCTTACCCACGCTCACCTCCTTCCTCTTTGCATCGGCAGCATTGCGAGGTGGGCTTTGCGAGGTGGGCGTAGCTACCTCCCTGCTGACACGTGGCAATGCGGAAGAGCTGGGCGTAGCCACACCCACCTCGCAAAGCCCACCACGCAAAGCTGCCGATGCAAAGAGGAAGGAGGTGGGGGTGGGTAAGAACAGCTGTTCTTGAAGGCCACACCCCCAGCGACCTCCAAGGAGAGCTGTGTTTGGCCACACTTTTAAAATCTCTCATCTTTCCTTCCCTTCCCTGGCAAGCTGTCATGCAGAAGAGAGAGGTGGGCGTGGCCAAGCACAGCGCTCCTTGGAGGTCGCTGGGGGTGAGGCCTCCAAGGAGGGCTGTGCTTGGCCACGCCCACCTCTCCCTTCTGCATGGAAGCTCATGGCAAGGGAAGGAAGGGAAACTGCAAGATTTTAATGGTTCTGGGGGAGGGAGGGGCACCTTCCATTAATGAAACAAAGGAAGCAATTCGTATTTCCTGGTATTTCCAATCTTTTTTTAAAGAAAATTTCAGAAATAATTTCAAAATCGAACCGCCAGCGCCCCCATATACAAAACGAGTTTAGAACCATTTTTTTTCTTGATCAACCAAGTCTAATATAGACAGACACACAGAGGCTATTTAACATTTCAGCTTTTTCATGAGGATATTCTGGCCACCAGGGGAGCTGTCACTTCACATTCCATTTGTGACACTGATGAAGTACTTCCTCATTCTTTGAGTGCTTGCTGGATATTTTTATGGTGTCATAAATTAGCCTCCCCGCATAAGCGGTACCTAAATTTCCTACTTGACAGATGCAACTGTGTTTTGGACCGCAAAGGTTGACAGCAAGCTACACAAATTGGTTGGAAGCTTACTCCGATCCAGGCTGGCTTCGAACACATGACCTTTTGGTCAGTAGTAATCTTAATGCAGCTGACTCCCAGCCAGCTGTGCCACAGTCCCAGTGGAATTTCTGGGACTTCAGCTCCCAGAAATCCCAGCCAGCTTACTAGCTGTTAGGAATTGTGTGAGATGAAGTCCAAAACATTTGGAGGAGCAGAGATTGAGAAACACTGCCCTAGACTAAGGTTATCACATAAATAAGGTACACAACTGCTGTACCCTTAATAGTTGTGTAGAAGAGAGAACTTCAGTGGGCGTTGCTTGCCATTGGGCAACACCTACTGCAATTCCCTTATACACAACTGTTAAAGGCAAAGAAACCTGGTCCCTTATTTTATCTGGCAAATTCTACAATAGAATTCTGGGAAATCTCAGTATACTCTAGACAGGCCACATTGGTTGGAGATGGTAGGGAGCTGTCTGGAGTATAGTGAGATGAGCGGACCTGGTAATTCAATTTGGGATTGTAGCTATAATGCACCATCTCTTGATAAAGTATTTTTTTCAAAGGGGGTACAAATCTTTTCTTGCCTCTCAGGGCTACATACTACATTATGCAATCCTCAGAGCATACTTTCACACTACTCACATTAATGCATACCCAGATTTATGCACACACAAACTCTCTGCAACAGCACAACTGTGCTCCTAGTAGTCCATTAGACAGAGCCTTATGAGAAATTAAGGAGAATATATAGCATCCTGAGCCCACACAGGGGTTTTCCAAAGGCCATGTTTGGGTCATGTGGTGGTCCTTATGTGTTTAAGGAGTACAAGTTCTGATGAAGAGTGCTGCAACACTTGTTTCCAATCCACCCATTTTCTTCTCTTTGGATAGAAAAAAATCACTTTTACTGGTATTCTGAAATTTGCAAGTGGAAAGAAACTCACTAGTGCTCCCATGCTTCAATCAGGGGAAAGTAATTCTGAATTTAAAATAGCAAGTTTTAGCATACATTTTTCCCAGCATGGTTCTCCAGATAAGGAAACTATCGACCACTAGCCAAGCAAAGTGAAACAGATTTAGGAAGTTTTCCATTGCCACCTAAAATTATGTTTCATCCTTCTGTGCTATGTGTGCAGGATGAGACTTGAATACAGTGTTTTATAATGTTCCTGGCTCTTTTTAGAGGGGAAAACTGAGAAAGTAGATGGATGATGTCCACTCAGCACCCTGGCGATGTGTGGTATGACTCTAGGGTTTGGTTTTGTCTCACAATGCTGTTTAATATCTATATGTAATATCTCTCTGGAATTTTGGGATTCAATGTCACTGTGCAGAAGTCATTGATACTATGTATGTGTTTAACTGTTAGGGTATATATTTGTGGTTGTAACAGTAGCTAAAACTAGAGTTATCTGGTTTGAATCCACAGTGAGCATTGCCAAGGAGACCAGGCAGGCTAGCTCAGGGGAGTGAGAAGTGGGCGGAGCCAAGCAGGAAAATGTTATGTGCGTCTTTGGAAAAGGGGCAGTGTGAGTGGGGGAGTGAGTGTGGAGGCTTGAAGAGCCTGGGAGAGAGGTGTGTGTTAGCAGCTGGAGGTTTTTCAGTCTAGAAGGGCTGAGGAGAGAAACCTGGCCAGTTTCTTTAGTCAAGGAAGACTAAAGGAAGCTTGATAAGATCCCTAGTCAAGGAAGGACTAGAGATCAGAGATTTGATCAAGGAAAGATCAAATTGGAAGGCTATTCATAATAGTAAACGTTGTTCACTAAAGAGCTTCACCTCAGTAAAAGTTAGCCATGAGCTGTGCTATTTGGAAGAGTGGACTGTGTTACAAACCAAGTGATATTCAAAGTTCTATAAGTTATTTAACAGCCTGCAACCATACGCTTTGTACACAATAAACTTGTTATCTTTTGTTGAAGACCGTCTCATCTCAATTAATCTGTGTCTGTAAAGCCAGATCTCATCGGTGGTATCTCAAATACCTCACGTTGGTGGCAGTTACCTTAATTTACAAGTAATAATTGGTCTCCTCTATAATATATTCTTATACACAATTGAGGCCGGAGATTAAATCCCTCCATAATCATCCACACCTGTACAATTGGTTCGTGCAAACTGTACAATTGCTGACAGCTGGTGGGGATCTTCAAAGATAAAACCCCTGTACCCTGTCCATCATTGTGTTCACGTCTGGACAGTCACCAATATGCTAGTGACTTCCCACTTCATTTCTCCTTCTCACCTAAGTCAAAGAAATACATTTCAGTAGTAGACCAAAGAAGTGAATAATTGGATCAGAGTTGCTTCTGGTTAATCATAAGGCTGATGGAGTTAGAATTATTTGCGCACACACACAAACACACAATTCACCCTCAACCTGCGTGCCAGCAGGTTGAGGGTGAATCCAGCGAAGACGGAGATCCTTTGGCTGGGCCGTCCGGGTGGGAGGGAGATCCAGCTGCCTACCCTGGATGGCGAGACACTACGTCCGTCACCTTCTGTAAAAAGCCTTGGTGTCTTATTGGACCCTCTGCTCACAATGGAGGCCCAGGTCTCTGCTGTGAGCAGATCTGCGTTTTTCAACCTACGTCAGGCTAGGCGACTGGCTCTCTTCCTATCTAGGAACGACCTGGCTACGGTGATCCAGGCGACGGTCATCTCGAGGCTTGACTACTGTAACGCCCTCTACATTGGCCTTCCTTTGTCAGTGATCCGGAAACTGAAGCTGGTGCAAAATGCGGCGGCTCATCTTCTCGCCGCCGGCGAGGTGTCGTATCACCCCAATTCTACAACAGCTGCACTGGCTTCCGATTGAGTACCGGATTACTTTCAAGGTGCTGGTACTAACCTTTAAGGCCTTATATGGTCTGGGGCCGGCGTACCTGAGGGCCCGCTTATCCCCCTACCAACCCCAGAGATTACTTCGGTCCGAGGACCAAAATTTGCTTGAAGTCCCCAACATCCGGACTTATCATCTGTCCTCTACTAGGCAGAGAGCCTTCTCGATTATGGCCCCTTATTTATGGAATGCCTTGCCAGTTGAAACCTGAACCATCCAAGAGCTACTTGCTTTTCGGAAAGCCTGTAAAACCTTTCTTTTCCGACAAGCTTTCGATGGGTGAATAACTCGGGACTATGTCTGTTCTCGTTTTTATTGTATTTTAAAGTTGGTTGTATTGTTTTAATCTACTGCTGTAAACCGCTCCGAGCCAAATTGGGAGTGGCGGTATACAAGTCAAATAAATAAATAAATAAATAAATAATAAAAAATAATAATATACACACACACATATATCTATATATATATATGAGAATATGATAGGATTTTAGGTGAACCTTGTTTTAAATTGCTGAAATATGCCTTGGGTGGAACACTGAAAGTAAAGACATAAATTAAATACATTAAATACATTCCAGCTCCGAACATAGATGAACTCCATTCCCAGATTTCATGAGTGACAATACATGGGTAGCACAAGCCCTGCATCTCTGAATCACTGGTTTGGTTGAACAAATTCATAAATCTTTTTGAATCTACCTGCTACATCACTTCACTTTAGACCTGTTTGGCTAAGCAGGGCTGTGCACCTTCACTATATATGCTTTCATTCAAACATTACAATGGATTTTATCCAGTAGTGACTTTACCATAAAGCACTTAACATGCAAGCAAAGCAATCTTCTGAACCCATTAAAGTTTCTTGCTGATTGGGAGAATCTACAGATAAGATCAGAATATGGTAAGCAGGAAAGATTTTAAAAAATCACATGCACAAACTTGCATAATAGAAAAAACCTTTTGCTAAACCAAAGCCACTACCTGAGCAGGCACAAAAAAATGAAATAGTGAGATAATTATTTGTCACTGTCTTCTTAGGCTACAAACCTGCAGAAATGCAATTTCTTTCTTTTTAAACTATCCCCAGTTTCACTTGGTATCATTTTAACTTCTCTGACATTCTAGCAACAATAACAAAAGCCTTACAATTAAATTTTAATTGTCTGATTTTCAATTGCAGCTCACTGCCATGGATGCAGATGAAGGTCCAAATGGGAAGATCATATATGAAATCCTGGCTGGAGATCAGGGAGACTTTGTAATCAATGATCACACAGGCCTTATCACCATCGCACCAGGAACCGTTCTGGTGGTAGGTCGTTCCTATGCTCTCACTGTCAGAGCATCTGACAGTGCTCCACTCTCACAGCAAAGGTAATTAATATCATAATTATTTTTTTCTTAAACTGTTAATAATTTACTCCATGCTATAATTAACAGAAGGTGTAATAATCCTGTACATGTCTACTCAGTAATTCACAAGGATTTATACTTAGGTGTATAGTGTGTGAGAGAGATATAAATACGAGGGGTATTTTTTTAAGTAAGGTCCGTTTTGTTGGAAGAGACCTCATGGGCCATCCAGTCCAATCCCCTGCCAAGAAGCAGAAATATTGCATTCAAATCACCCCTGACAAATGGCCATCCAGCCTCTGTTTAAAAGCTTCCAAAGAAGGAGCCTCCACCACACTCCGGGGCAGAGAGTTCCACTGCTGAACAGCTCTCACAGTCAGGGAGTTCTTCCTCATGTTCAGGCCACTTATTGTTACAAGTATATGTTGTTTCTGCTTCTTTTTTAAAATACATTGCTGCACATTGTTTCATCTGAATTTGTAAGTGCATGTTTACTTCAAGAGCCTGGAAATGTGTGAAAGGAAGAGAAGATACTAAGCAATGAAGGCAAAAGTCACTGTTTGTTCTTTCAATTGCAAGCTATCATGTAGCAGTAATATCTCAAATATCCTGAAAGTGAAAAGATCTCTGAACCAGAGGTAACCGACCATTTTATCCAGATAATGCAGTCTTATACTGTGCCTTTGCTCAATTTGGAACACAAATTGCAAGCTGTGCAAACACTGGACAAGTGATGAAATACACTCCATGGAAATTTACTCTTGCACTTGCAGAGCCATTCACTTTCTAATCTCTGACTTGTTAGGTTTGAGAGGCATCGAGTAGGAAGAAATTAAGACTTACCTCATATGAGCTTGGCAGAAACCAACAAAACGAGTGAAGTTTTTTTTTTCTGTCTCACTTTAGCTCACAGAACACTTCATATTAAATTAGAAAAACTTGAGTGCGTTTACATGTACATACAGTATTTTGCAGAGCCTTTTCTCAGATGTGCATGCCCACTGATATGAGGATAACATGGTAAAAGGCCTATTTTTAAAAAGATCAGAGCCAGCTTATTTCACCATATAATGTCAGTTATGAGCCTCGTCATAACAATGTCATCTGTGCGCATTCAGAAGAAGACCTACAAGCCACTCTAAACACCTTTGCAGAAGCATACGAGAAGCTTGGCCTGTCATTAAACATCAGGAAAACCAAAGTGCTCTTCCAGCAGTCACCGGCCAATCCTTCTCCAATGCCAGAAATACAGCTTAATGGTGTAACATTAGAAAATGTTGACCCTTTCCGCTACCTTGGCAGCCACCTCTCCACAAAAGTCAACATTGACAATGAAATTCAAGACAGCCTGAGTTCTGCAAGTGCAGCATTTTTCTGAATGAAGCATAGAGTGTTTGAGAACCAGGACATCCGTAGGGATAACAAGGTGCTTGTTTATTAAGCTATTGTCCTTCCAACCCTGCTATACATCTGTGAGACGTGGACAGTCTACAGACATCACATGCAACTCCTGGAATGATTCCATCAGCGTTGCCTCTGGAAAATCCTGCAAATCTCTTTGGAAGACAAGTGGACAAATGTCAGCGTGCTGGAAGAAGCAAAGACCACCAGCATTGAAGCGATGGTCCTCCGCCATCAACTCCGTTGGACCAGCCATGTTGCCCAGATGCCCAATCACCATCTCCCAAAGCAGTTGCTCTATTCCAAACTCAAGAATGGAAAACAGTGATTTAAAGGAAAAGTGATTTAAAGACAGGTTCAAAGCCAACCTTAAAAACTCTGGCATAGACACTGAGAACTGGGAAGCCCTGGCCCTTGAGCACTCCAGTTAGTGGTCAGCTGTGACCAACAGTGCTGCAGAATTTGAAGAGGCACGAATGGAGGGCGAAAGAGAGAAATGTGCCAAGAGGAAGGCACGTCAAGCCAACCCCGACCAGGACTGCCTTCCACCTGGAAACCGAGGCCCTCACTGTGGGTGAAGATGCAGATCAAGAATAGGGCTCCACAGTCACCTACAGACCCACCCCCAGGATACTACTCTTGGAGGACCATCATCCTCGGACTACGAGGGATCGCCTAAGCAAGCAAATAAGTATGTAAGTGTAAGAAATCAGTGAAATGCACAATTTTTCCCCTAGCTATGTTTTTTCCCTAGCTATCTGTGGTTTTATTCTGCGCATGCGCAGTTGTTCGGAACCTTCTAGAATCTTGTAAAAGAAACAAATTGGCGGAGGCCCCGCCCACACTCCCCAATACAATAAATGCCCCTGGCGGGGACTGCGCTTTAGTTCCGTAGCCTCAGCAGCTACAGAGAAAGGCATGATCACTGTGGGGAGGATGGGCAGGGATGTGCGAATTTCACAGACTATCACTCGAGTAAACACAGTTACAGGTAAGCAACTTGCATTTCCTCTTCGTGTAGTCTGTGAAAGACGCACATAAGGGTGAATAGCAAGCTTCTAACCTTGGAGGTGAGTCATGCCACACAGGAGAACCGCACTGCCCGGCCGAAAACCACATCCCTCTTCGCCATCACGTCCAACTTGTAGTGGGCAGCAATTGCAGAGATTATGTATATGAATTAATTGTATAGAAATTCAATACATATACATGATAAAAGAATGTTTTAATAAAACTGTCTCAGTTCACCTATTGTTTTTTTCAAATTAGTAGAGAATACTTTTTAGGGGAAAACTTGAAAAAAAATAACCCTTTGATGCTGACTTTTAGAACTGAGCATCTTTCTGAAACTAGGCTAATCTGTGGATGCAAAAGTTATGCTCTTTAGACTACAGTCCTCCCTTCCTGGAAGCCAAGGATGCTTCCCAGAAATGACTGGACAGCAGCAACTGAAATATCTTGCCCTTTAAAAGGTGCACTAAGATAAGCTATGAATCTCTTTTTTGTCTTTTGATGCCTACTTCTTGACTCACACATCCCAGTGAAAGACTCAAAGCTGTTGCTGCTGTTGTTTTATTTATTGAAGTGCAGACCTCACTAAGATCCATGCCATCGTAAATGTATAGTAGAAGGTATCTTTCAGTTTTTTCTCAGTTTATCTCCTGAGAACCATGTTTGATAGATGAATAGTTCTCAGAGTCAAAGTGATTGGAATGTGATTCAGTCCTAATATTCTTGCATCCTTGTAAATAGAATGTCGCCGTGACATCCTTGCGGTTCTTTCGGTCCTTAAACCCTTTGCTTACTATGAAATATTGTGAGGATTAAATGTAGAGATTCCAGTAGTTCCAGTTTGATTGCTATGGCTACCTACATCCCCGCCAAAACACACTATAAATCAGAAGCAGCAATCCTCTGTTTAGTGACCAGAAGATTAACTGAGCACATAAAACTAGTATTTGCTTTGATTTAGAGACATTTTACTGAATCATCAGTTGCAATGTTGCTTGTCTAACAAATCTCTAACACAGTAGTCCAAATAACTGGTAACTTGATTTGAAAAAAGAGAGTTTTTAACACAAAGAGGATCACATCTCCTCATACAAACCAGTCCAGGCACTGCGGTCATCGGAGGAGGCCTTGCTCTCAGTCCTACTCCCATCTCAAGCGCAGCTGGTGGGAACAAGAGAGGGGGCCTTCTCCATGGTTGCCCCCACCTCTAGAACTCCCTTTCTAAAGAAATAATACTGGTCCCCTCCCTCCTTCCCTTTAAAAAACAACTGAAGATCTACTTTTGCTCACTAGCATATGGAGAGGAGAGGGATTAGATGGTTGAGAGGACACTGCCAGGCCTCTGGTTGAGAACTCTCTGTGTTTGGGCTTTCCTGGTCCACACCAGCCCAATGACCTCATTTGACTACATAACCAACCCACACTATTTTGTGAACCCCTTCTGGCTGTTGTACAATAATGTGGATGTTTTGTTTAGATTTAAGTTACTATAGAATTTGGTCTGATTACGTGTAGTTTAATTTATTGAAGTCAGGTTGAATTTACTGATGTTAGGTTTTAATTTGATGTTAGGTTTTAATGTTACTTTTATATGTGGGGGTTTTCTGAGATTTTATGTTATTATTATGTGTTTTATGTAGGCATTGAATGTTTACCATTGTTATGTTGGAATCCACCCTGAGTCCCTTTGGACGGATAGGGCGGAATCCAAATAAAGTTTTTATTATTATTACTATTATTATTATATGACCTCACTCTCATATTCTGTGTATTCTATGATCAGAATATGCACACGTATATAAAGATACATCCCACCAAGTTTGCTACGTGGTAAATTGGAGACACTGCTGGCTTCATTACTAGATACTAGGCTTCTTTGATCAAAAAATGGTTCAAAACTCGTTTTGTATGTAGGGGGTGCCAGTGGTTCAATTAGGAAGTCAATTCCGATTTTCACATTAAAAAATGTTCAGAACTTTTTGAAACTTCCGAGACGTCCGAATCCTTCCTTAATGGTTTGAAAGTGTTATTTCCTGTTTCATTGGGTGGTCTTTACTTTGAAAATAATTGTTTTACTCCAAAAAGGGAGAGGTGAGCAAAGGCAGGAAATTCATCCAGTCTGGTTTAAAACACTTTGCAGGCTCCAGCACAGAAGCAAGGGGAAAGGAAAGGTAGGAAATACATCCAGTTTGTTTTTATACTCTGCCCAGGCTCCAGCTCAGAAGCAAGGGGAAAGGAAAGGTAGGAAATAAGGAAATACACCCAGTTTGTTTTTAAACTCTGCCCAGGCTCCAGCCCAGAAGTGGGGAAAAGCTGAATAATTTTTGACTCACTTACTGCTTCATAACAGAAATGGCGGAAAAAGCTTAGAAGGGCAAAGGGCCTTCCGGTTTCCTTAAAAACTTCAAAACAAAAATCTTTCCAAATTTAATCCAAACTACGAAGATTCCAACTGAACCTAATAGATACTGTAACATGGTATAAAACTTCCGAGTTTAAATATTCACATATGTTTTTGGTTTGTTTGTTTTTTTGGCTTGGTCAAAGTTTATTATCCTTGACATTTCAAGATGTCTATCAAATGACAGTTTGTATCTTTAATTTGGGAACTTCTCCCACAATGGTTTATTGAGTAAATAGGAGCCTTGTATGTTGTCCTATAGTTATTTTTGGAAGAGGGCCCTATGCTCGTTAAAGCTTTCGAATTGGAAAACTTTCTGTTGATTCCACATTGCCTGCTATGGAGTTCATACTCAACTTAGCATCAGTATTGAAGGATTTGTTTCAAAACCTGAACAGCTTAAATCAAGTAAGCTTTATATTTGGACTTTGGAGGGAAACAGAAGACTTGAAAATATTTAAGGATTGAAATTATCTTATCAAATTGTCATCCCCCCTTTGATTGCAGCAAAGTTATATGTTTCATTACTACAGTGTTGTTTTTGTGTTAGAATTGGATTTTTGATCTTAAAGGCAGAAGTTATAGACATAAGAGTAAGAATTTGGAAGACAGGGAAGTTTCTGAGATTGTATCAAAATGTCAAAAAATCTTTAAAAATTGAATAATTTTACATCACTAAGATTTTGGATTACTGTAGTTTGTATCACTTGTATCCTAGTATAAAATAGGGAAAGCTTGTATAAGACCTTAATAGTAACTTTGATGTCAATTCACATCAACTTGCTTTTAGTGAATGGAAAAGTCCTTACCTGAACAGCAGAGCCATGGCACAAAGAAGGAGCTGTTCAACTGGAACCACTGATTGTCAAGTGCAGTTAAGAGGAAGGAAAGTGCTCTTTGGGGAAAATGATTTTTAACTGTATTTTATTTGTTTCATGTCATTGCAGGAGCTCCATCACTACTGTTTACATTGAGGTCCTTCCTCCAAACAATCAAAGCCCACCCCGCTTTCCTCAACAGATGTACAGCCTTGAACTCAGTGAGGCCATGAGAATTGGTGCCATTTTGCTAAATTTGCAGGTACAGAATGCTTCAATGTAAGCATTTGCACAGCTCTTTCTGCTTATGAATGTTCTGATCCTAAGCTACTGTTTTGGTTTCTGCACAAATGTCCAGCTCTGGAACTAGAGCTGTCAGGCAAAAAACAAAAACAGAACAGGACTATTGTACCTTTATAAATTGAAGCTGCTGAAACCCTCTCTTCTATGTGATAGGACCTCATCATATTAGATGAATAATGTGGGTTGATTTAGATTGATCAAAAACAGGAATATGAAATCTCTGTGGGGCAAAGAACTAAATGACATCACACCGGCAGCTGGTGTTCGGGATGCCTTGACTACCGAAGTGAGGGTCTACAGTAATTATTTAATTACTGTAGGAGCCCCCGGTGGCACAGTGGGTTTAACCCCTGTGCCAGCAGGACAGGTTTGAATCCAGGGAGAGTGTGGATGAGCTCATTCTATCAGCTCCAACTCCTCATGTGGGGACATGAGAGAAGCCTCCCACAAGGATGGTAACACATCAAAAAACATCCGGGCATCCCCCTGGGCAACATCCTTGCAGACAGCCAGTTCTCTCACACCAGAAGCGACTTGCAGTTTCTCAAGTCGCTCCTGACACAACAAAAAAAACCTTAATTACTTTGAAACTTCCATTGGTTAATCAAGATGAAGGGTTCCAGATATTGTGATGCAAAACACTGCTTTTAAGGAGGGAGGGGGGAACTTACCTTCCACTACAGGGACTCGCACTAATGGTAGACCTGAGGGAGTAATGGCGGTGGGAGAAGATTAACAGTTAATAGTTGTAACTGCCCACTTTTTGCCCGCAAACTGACATCATAAAACAGTTTAGCACAGTGAAAATGACCAGTTGCCATCACAAGGGAAAAATCGTGCTAGCAGACGGTTGGAACTGGTAGATTGCCGGCTCCAAATAATGCACGTTTTCTGAATGCCAGGGACCACTTTCCAGAAATAGGCTTGCATCATGTGATGGCAATTGAGATACTTCAATTAACAGTGTCTAGAAATGGGGAAATTGTCTTATGTGATGAGGTCCATAGTTTGTTACAATAATCTTGTCCTGTATTTCAATTAGCAACCTTAGCCAGAGCACTAAATCTGATTCATCCTTGCCCAAGAAATCCTGAGAAATTCATGGGGTTACCATAAATTGATGGTCAACTTGCAGGTATATAAACACATACAGAACATTTAGGATAACAGCACATGCAACTAATCCTATGTCTGTAGCTAAAGTAGGAGCATTTACACTAAGCTTCCAAACATTAGAAGCCCATTCCAACCAAAATTAAGCACTTTGAATTCCCCTCAATTTCAGTGGAGATAATCAGATTGCTGTGCCATCTGTGCATATCTGGATGTATACCTAAATGAGAACTTACATGGAGTAAATAAATAGTCTTGTGCATCCTATACTTACATGAAGAGAACTTCCAACTTGCTTTGCTTTGGCTAGGTTATGCACTGTATTTTTTTAAACCAAGTCTTTTCTCTCTCACACACATTTATATGGCAACTGTACAAGCTGCATGATCTTGTTTAATTAATGGCATTATCTAATCGCTTCTTAATTCTTTTCAGGTTATAGTCCTGGTTGTTTTTTTATATTGCATATTTTAAGAAAAATCCAAATGAATGCAAGATTCAAACACAACTACTATGTTTATTTTGTAAAGATTGGAGTAATAAATAATCCCTACTGAGTTACTTTGAAAATAAGCTCAAGAATTTAGTGACTGCCGAAAGTCACTTTATTATCTCTCATTCTGTCAGTCAATGTTGATTAAAGCTTAAGTATGCAAATGTTCCAATTTCCTGAAATTCCAGTAGGCAATTATCATGCTTATGAAAGCATACCATCCATGAAACCCAAATGTAGGCACTCTCTAGAGGGGATAAAGCACATGCAATCAGTTGTTATAAAGTTAAAGTTGTCAAATATTTAAGTGTTATGAATGAAACAATTAGCATTTAAAATGTGTTGTCCATTGCGACTCATTTAAAAAAAACAAATGTGGTTTCAAAAAGGCGATCATTTATCGCAGTCTGTAACGTTCCAATTATTTTGTGTTGTTCTTATGAAGGCCACAGATCGAGAGGGTGACCCTATAACATACATCATACAGAATGGAGATCCTCAACAAGTTTTTAACCTATCTCGGACGTAAGTGAAATTCCCATTGTTACAGACAGCACAATTTTATAATAAAATGTCTTCTCTGAAGTAAATCTCATTCATTCAGTTGGATTTCTTCCCAGGTTGGTAGGTTTATTATTACAGCCAGAAATTTTAACTTTTTGGTCCAATTGAATATGCAGATTGTGTGCAAATAATGTAGCTTCTAATCAAAGGTGTTCAGCTGTTTGAAGTTGAGCTCTCACACGCTAATAGGAGCTTTGTGAGTGGTACTGAACTTTGAAATTGTACATGCGAGACCATTTATTTATTTTATATGTTTGACTAGGTAAAACCCACCGAGATGGAAACTTCCATTATAAGAGTGACCTGGGATTAATTAGAAGCCTTTAGACTTGCCAGGTTTCTGCTAATGACAGTGACTTTTTAAAAACTTAGTTACAATTTCCTGTCTTGAAAATGAAATGTACTTTAATGAAACGAGAGACCTTTTGAGGCCATTGTTTGAATTCATCACCAGACATTCCAAGCACTGCTAACAGAGAAAGCTTTTAGCTTTCCTCCTAAATTGATGCCACCTTAATTAGTATAAAGAAAAGCCATGTTACACTGAAAACATACCAGAAGCAGCGAAAACCTAGGAAGCTGTCATTTGCAAAGCCATTATTTCTCTAAATAATTATGGGAAAGAGGAAATGAAGAATACACTGACTGGCCTTTAAAAAAAAGAAACATTCTCACTTGAGGGCTATTATTATGTTTTCAATGTTCAGAAACCTATTCTAAGCCTAAAAGGGACATGGTAAATATTGATATAAATATAATAGATGTTTAAAAATATCCCACAATGCTCTGAGTCCATGTAACCTCCCCCCCCCCAAAAAAAACCCCTATTAAAATACAATCAAAGTGGTATTTTTATTCATTCATGGATCTTTGGCGTTATACAGCATCAAAAAATGTAACCTCGCTGTGATGTGGGGGGAAAGAAAAGAGGCTCAACATAAACAGATTCACATGGAAATGTGTACGAGCCAGTTACTAGGTATTTAGCAAGATCGTAAAAGAGAATACTTTATTTCTTGTGTGCAATGAGCTCCTTCCTTAAACAGTTCTCCATTAATTCAGATACTTCCCATGTGTGTGGTTCTGTTTAAGAGCAATACTTGCTACATTACTTATACAACCAAATTAAGAAAACTGCAAAGAGAGGTGCACAGTTACTAACAGCTGTGCAATAAAAATGCCCCTGCCTTGACTTCAGGTATTCTGTGTCAGCAGACATTAATGAAAAAGACTTGCTGACAAACCAAAGGAATAAAGAGACCAGACAACAATGAACTAAGGGCAACTTTATTGAGTGTAATCAATTTAGATGTTTCTTGGTGGTGGTTAGTCAAATTTGGGGGAATAAATTTGATAAGGGAACAACTGAAGGAGCACCCAGCCTTTCCTGGGTGAAACACCAAAGACCAGTTCCTAATAAACATGGTTGCTCAAAGATCCAGCTAAAATATTGGAAGGTGGGAAAGAGTGTGTAAGCCCCAAGCTGCTTTGGTCCCTGGTAAGTGCAAAGACCCCAAAACCAGCACTGAGGTTTGGAGATTCTTCCCAGCTCCCAGATCCCCTGATAACCAGGAGAAGCTCAAAATTGCCATTCAACATGAAATGTGCCAATAGGTTTATCACCGGATTGTAGCTCCCAAACACCAGATTGGGAAACCTATTTAAATTGACACCATTCTAAATCATTTGTCCATATTTCTGTGACAGCGTAGGCAGCGGCGCTGGGGAGAACAACCCATAAAAATTCTGATAGATTCCAGGATCAGCAATTGGGGAGAAACCCCATGGAGCTTACCCCAGAGGCTCCAAAATTAGCTTCAGTTGAGTCCAAAGCTAGCYTTAAAGTATTGTAGCCTTTTAGGCAGTTTTGCTTGTTCATTGGTTAAACATGTTGTTGTCCTATTAAAAAAAAATATGGTTGCAGCTTTGGATTGTTTAAATTGTTTTATTTGTATTCTGCTCCAAGATTTTATGATAAAGGACATGTGTTRTGCAAGTCGTTTGTTGGTTAGAATGGCATCAGCTAGGGTGCCAGAGTAATGAGGGAGGAGTGAGAAGAGGAATCTCCCTCTCCTTTCTCCAATCATCTCTTTGCTCTGGCCAGCATTACTCCAGGTGATGAGCAACTGGGACAACCCATGTCATGCTTGCTGGCCACTGCAATGGAAAGAACGAGGGGAGGGGGACACAGGGGACAGTCAGTRCTTGGGTCCTTGGGTTGCCCAGGCATGAGAAATATGGGTTGACCATATAAACAGTTGCAACCTGTTCTATCTTGAAACCAGYCCAACTGTTTCATGGGTTGAGAATCACAACTTGCTCTGAAATTTGTGAGAGAATTAGGAGCAACCCACAGCATTGGTTTAATGTGGCTCAAGACCATGTCTAGAGGTCTTGTCTTGTGTTAAACCAGATYCATTCTGTGCATTGTTCAACCACCATATAGTTGACTTCATTGCCCTTTGTACTAAGTGAGCAAGTGGTGGTGGGGGGGGGGGTGGTGGTTGAAAAATCCCTGCACTGSCTAGTGGAATTTAGTCCAAAATCTGCCATTTTATTATAATTTGGTCTCATAGTATAACTATTAAAACTATTCCACTCAGAGGGGGTTATTTGAGCTTTGAGATTTTTGTTAGCACATTATCTTTTCTCTTGTAACTTAAGACAGTCATCTGCCAGTTCAAGTGAGTGGCAGGCTAAATCCACCTCTCATATATTATCCTGTAATATAAAATCTCCAAATCCAAATGATTCTAAAATATATATGTAACAATAAAACCTTAGTAGCTGAATTTCTTTTCTTCTTTTTGTTACAACCTTCTTCAATTTACAGAAAAATGATCTATTATAAAAATCAAGGGTCATGTTTGCTGCAAAAGAAAATATTGATTAGTACAACCAATGCAGTGTATATAACTTCTCATTTTTAACAGCCATGTTTTGGTGTAACCTGTATTTTTTGTTTTATCGCTAGATCTGGGCTACTAGCCTTAGGAAAGCCTTTAGACAGAGAAAGCACTGATCGCTACATTTTGATTGTTACAGCCTCAGATGGCCGACCAGATGGGGTAAGTTTCTCATGAAAATGTAAATGTGTTTCTGAGATGAAAACAATTGGAAGCCAACAGTTGCAAAGCCCGTAACAGCTTCAGCGGAAAGCTTTTACTGACTTGTCTATTGCCTACAGTAATTCCCTATTACTCCCCAGAAAACTGGACAAGTGTTGCATTTAAGAGTTGCCCAAAGTATCGTATATAATGCAACTGGGGTGATTTGTATCATATCTACTGTTCTTCATTGCTTTATGGCAGTATGTACACTGAGAGCTAACCCATGGGATATATATCCTATGCTTGTTCCTACTCATTGAGATAACTCACTGTCCCTTATCTCACATAGTATTTTTGTTTGAAAGTTTTGAACATGTCCCCCCTGCGGTGTATCCTGAGACATTTGTGCTGGCTATAAAAACCTTTGGTCAGAAACTCTGCTGAAAATCTGCACGTAGCAAATATGAAGTTAGTTTAGGGTTTTTTCCCCTTCCTGGCACTGGGGAAATCAGTTTGGTATGTTTTGTGACAAATCATAAGGAAACGCCATCAAATGTTTTCTTCCACTTTATAGGAAGTGAAGAACAAGTTTACACGTTAGCTTGACTCCTGGAATATCAAGAGGTTTTGTTTTTTTGCCTGCAGTATTTCTTACCCAATACACTAAGAGTATTAGGGAATCTTTCTTATTCCATTAGGGCAATATTTCTTTTATTGCCTAGAATTATAGTTCAATTCTCTTAATGCTTGTCAGCTTATCCTCTGGTTCCTATACCATATATTGTTTCTTTGGCATATTTAAGATATTTTTAGTGTAGAGTCACCACAGTAAATAAAGGCATAATTCTGGCTCATCAGGTTGTTTCTTGTAATGTCAGATTTCAGCAGTGTTAAAATTATATAACGTATTTGTGAATTATAAGTTCAAAATCATTTACTGTCAGTACATTTAATAAACCAAAAGCATTCCCATAATTGTATAATCTATTTGCCTTATTCTAATAAAGAGTGCAGTCAAAAGGCCGAACACGGGGTAGGTTTACAGCCTGTGTTAGATGGGGTTACACTCCCCCTGAAGACACAGGTTCGCAGTTTGGGAGTGATCCTGGACTCATCGCTGAGCCTGGAACCCCAAGTCTCGGCGGTGGCCGGGAGAGCTTTTGCACAATTAAAACTTGTGCGCCAGCTGCGCCCGTTCCTTGGGAAGTCTGACTTGGCCATGGTGGTCCATGCTCTGGTTACATCCAGAATAGACTACTGCAACGCTCTCTATGTGGGGTTACCTTTGAAAACTTCTCGGAAGCTTCAATTAGTTCAGCGGTCGGAAGCCATGTTATTAACTGGAGCGGCATACAGGGAGCATACTACTCCACTGTTGCGTTAGCTCCACTGGCTGCCGATTGGCTTCCGCGCACAATTCAAAGTGGTGGTTTTAACCTTTAAAGTACTGAATGGTTATGGTCCAGATTACTTGTCCAACCGTATCTCCTGCTATGAACTATCACGAAGCTTAAGATTGTCAGGAGAGGCCCTGTTCTTGATCCCGCCACTCTCACAAATGCGGTTGGTGGGGATGAGAGACAGGGCCTTCTCGGCAGTGGCCCCCCGTCTGTGAAACTCCCTCCTAAGGACATCAGGTTGGCCACCTCCCTCCTGTCCTTTAGAAGACAACTGAAGACCTGGCTCTGTAGCAAGGCGTTTGATTAAATGATAATGACAATAGGAAAGGATTTTGGGTTGCGACACTGGATTTCCCGGTTTGATTTTTGTTTTACTAGCATTTTAATATTATCTGGTAAATGAATGTAGTGGCTGATGTGTTTGATGTTTTAAGATGATTTTACTGTTTTACTTTTTTATTGTATTCTTTGATGTATATGTTGTAAGCATCATTGACGCCTATGTGAGACCGCTCTGAGTCCCCTTGTGGGGAGAAGGGCGGGATAGAAATGTATGAAATAAATAAATGATAAAGAGGCATTCTTAGAGCCCTTCCACACAGCCCTACATCCCAGAATATCAAGGCAGAAAATCCCACAATAACTGCTTTAAAGTGGGTTATCTAAGTCCACATTGCCATATATTTCAGTTCAAAGCAGATTATGTGGGATTTTATTCAGCTGTGTGGAAGGGGCCACAGAGAGGAAGTAAAGGTTATACATGGCCCAGGATTAACATTGGAAATGGAACCCCATTTTATGTGGGACCATAAGGGTTACCTTCAAGCTTTTTCAGCTTCGAGGGGAAAAGGTGTCTTATTCCGTTTCAATATTTTATTGAGGAAATATCCAACCACAGTGACTTTTTTTTTTTACATCAAGACATATTGTTTAACTTCTTTGTGCGCAAAAAGCCCTTTGTACAAAAAAAGAGAAAAACACCCAAAACTCAATATTGTTTTGCAAATTACACTACAGGTTTATCATCCCTTATCCAGAATTCCAAAATCTGAAATGCTGCAAAATCTAAAGTTGTTTACATTGGCAGCTCATGTGGCACTTTTAGTTTTTATTAGTTCAATATACAAAAAATACAATATACAAAAAAATTATTAAAAATATTGTGCATAAAATTATACATCTATAAGGTGTATATGAAACAGGAATTTTGTGTTTAACTTGTGCCCCATCTCCAGACTATCTCATTGTGTGCATAGATGCAAATAAAGTTATTCCAAAATAAATACTAAAAACCAAAATCCAAAACACTAGTCCAAAGCATTTCTGATAAAAGATACACAACTTTTATTATATATGTAGAAATATTGGAGAAATATAAACCTTTTAAAATCAAAAATCCAATAATATGAAAAATCATCAAACTGTAATCTCATCCAAGGAGGAGAAAATTATTCAATTTCGCACACAACAATGAAATAAGTGAAGATTTACATTCCAATTATTCTTTCCAGCATCTAGACATACTGCCTATAAACTGCTGGTAGGTATAGCATGTTGAGCACAATGGGATTCCCAGTGTGTTGATGTCAAAGCACACATTGGGTATCCATAGATTTCACAAGAATTCACAGGGCTGCTGTTTTATTGACAGTATTGTATCTGCGTGATGCATTATTCTGCCTCTTATATCTGTCCAAACAGCGAGGAATTCCTCTGGTTCACACATAGACATAGGCATCACTGCTTCTTGCTTGATTGTTGACAGCTGAATGTTTTTTCTCCACTGGAAAATATTTTTATATGTGACAAAATGGATATTTTGTATAGAACCAGAATAACATGATTTTTGAAGAAAATAAAATTATTTAAGTATTTTTAGTAATCATTCTTTTTTGTGAAAGTTGTGGGATTTTTTAAAAAAAATCCATATATATGTCGCAAGCTCTTATGTGTATTTCTGAATTATTTCTGAAACAGAGGGGAAATTACATAAAGCTCTCACTTTTGTGTTATGCATCTCTACTGAATATTCTATGTGTCAAAAAACCAAAGCATTAATTCTTCTTTTGATTCTTATTCTCAATCCAATCCTTGTCATTAATGTTTTATACTCTCCTGTTGCAAAATACATTTTGCCTTTGTGAAGTAATATTCATTGAGAATGGGCAGGATAGTGTTTCAGTACCAAAGAATTGTGGGTTTTATTGAAAACTAGCTGTCCCCTGCCACGTGTTGCTGTGGCCCAGTCTGGTGATCTGGAAAATAAAGTAATGAGAAAGTGTTGGTTTCTAATATATGTAATTCCTTTATGCTTGTGAGTAAACAGTATTTCTTGTTGTTTCTTTGTCAGTGTTGATGTGGAGAGTGTCTGGTTTGCCTACTCTGGAACATATCATAGTCCTTCTTTAAGGGTCTCTTTCAAATCTATGATACTATATCTGTGTGTGTGAGAGAGAATCATATCTATCTATCTATATTTATGACTGGATGGCTCTTTGTCAGGAGGGCTCTGATTACATTTTCTTGCCCTGGTGAAGAGAGTTGGACTGGATGGCCTTAAGTATTTTCTGTTGGTCATGGGGGTTCTGTGTGGGAAGTTTGCCCCATTTCTGTCGTTTGTGGGTTTCAGAATGCTCTTTAATTGTAGTGAACTATAAATCCCAGTAACTACAAATCCCAAATGTCAAAGTCTATTTCCTCCAAACTCCATCTGTGTTCATATTTAGGCATATGGAATTTTTGTGTCAAGTTTGGTCCAGATCCATCATTGTTTGAGTCCACAGTGCTCTCTGGATGTAGGTGAACTAAAACTCCCAAACTCAAGGTCAATGCCCACCAAACCCTTCCAGTGTTCTGTTGGTCATGGAAGTCCTGTATGCCATGTTTGGTTCAATTCCATCATTGGTGGGGTTCAGAATGCTCTTTGATTGTAGGTGAACTATAAATCCCAGCAACTACAACTCCCAAATGTCAAGGTCTATTTCCTCCCAAACTCCATCTGTGTTCATATTTGGGCATATGGAATATTCGTGCCAAGTTTGGTCCAGATCCATCATTGTTTGAGTCCACAGTGCTCTCTGGATGTGGGTGAACTACAATTCCCAAACTCAAGGTCAATGTCCACCAAACCCTTCCAGTTTTTTCTGGTGGTCCTGGGAGCCCTGTGTGCTAAGTTTGGCCCAATTCCATCATTGGTGGAATTCAGAATGCTCTTTGGTTGTAGGTAAACTATAAATCCCAGCAACGACAATTCCCAAATGACAAAATCATTTTTTTTAGTGGAAGACATACATTGGGTTGTTAGATGTCTTGTGTCCAAATTTGGTGTCAATTCCCCCAGTGGTTTTTGAGTTCTGATGGTATCACAAACGAACATTATATAGAAGAACTGAGCTGTAGGACCCTTCCAGACAGAACCAAGGTACTGGGATTAAAAATCCAAATTCCTTTAGAGATATAAGTCACACAGAGTGTCCAAATTTTCGATTTTTCCTGGGGGGGGGGGATCGACCAAGGAGGGTATCTCACCAGCCCCCAAACCCTCCCCCAATTTCCCCTCTAAACTTTCTAGAGGGGTCTGGCTGAATCCTCAGCCCTTTTGGAGTAAACTTCTGACTT